GTTTAAATATTATTAAATTTTCTCCAGTGTTTCTTTGTACTTCAAATGTTTATTGACCTGTGAAGATAGATATGGATGAATAAACTTACCCTTCAACCTGGATAAATCAATGGGATATTAGAAATTGAATATTCTTGATATTTTAAAAAAGGTTTGTATTACATGGTGTGTTGATTTTCTTTCTTTCTTTTTTTTTTAACCAAGGAGATAGAAAAGTAAAAACAACACACCTAAACTGGCTTCTATTTCTTTTGTAGTGGTGAGGTCACGAACATGTGCCCTAGCCTGCCTGTTTTCCCACACTCATTTCATATTTGCTAGTAGTCGATGAACAATCCTTGGCTTGAGCCTTGGAAGGCAAAAGGAAGTCTATGAAGACAGAGAGCAACAACAAGAGGAACCTGATGGGTTGAAGTACCAGTTCCTGCCACTCACATCAATTCTTGTGTTCTTCAAGGGAGTGGTCAGCATTGTCCAGTGCTGCCAAAGAGCAAGAAAAAATAAGCACTAATGGTTTTCTTTTGCTTGAGCAAGTGGAAGCCACTAGGAATTTTGAGAAATCCCGGGTGCTGTAGTTGCTGGGCAAGTGTGAAGGGGAAGTTTAGGAAAATGGAATATGCTGGAGGAGGCTAGTCTGTCAAGCTCAGCCACCATCTCCAGGAGTTGTGCTCCTCAGGGCCCTGACCAGAGAGCTTCCCAGTGTTGTCCAGTGAAAAACCTGAACAAACTTAAGCAGGGAGTGACCACCCATTGTGTCTATTCTTTGCAATACCTAACATGAGAGATATGACATTGAATGTGAATTTAATGAACATTTTTTTTTGAATAAGCAAAAGCAAGAACCGATACAGAAGAAGGAAGAAAAGGTTTTTACAGTCTAGTAATCAAACTATTTTGAAGATTATGCCAAGGATTTATTTAATTTTATTTTAAGAACCAGGCAGTCAGAAAGAGACATCATCATCATCATCATCATCATCATCATCATATCAATGACAACACTTTTTTTTTGGCATAAAGCCTGATAGCTTAGGTAGCCTTTTTTCCATATTCATTGTCTAAGTCTTTGTAGAAAAGGGCTTCAAAGGACATCCAGGAAAGAATTATAAAATAAGAAACATTAAAGGTGGGTTGGAGATATAGCTCAGTGGTAGAGCACTTGCCTAGCATATGCGAGACTCTGGGTTTGATCCCTGGTGCTGCAAGGAAAGTACTTCAAATGTGTGACTTAAATCAGAATGTAGGAATTTCCTAAAGTAGATTTCTAACTAACATTGACTCATGATGTTGTATGGTTAAAGAAAAAGACTAAATTAACATGAAGTAGTAACCTAAAGTCAGGATGTATAAGCAGAAGTGTAGCATATTTATATGTCATGAAATCAGCCTATTTCATTGCACTTTCATGTGAGTCTATAGCAGTCTGAGCTCCAGAATGAAGCTATACCAAAAAGCAAAAATAAATAAATAAATAAATAAATAAATAAATAAATAAATAAAAAATGGGGGAAGAACTTACAGAAGAGCTATAAAGATTATTAAAGACCAAAGATGCAGGGCTTCCTATGAAATGTTCAGATGGAATTTCATAAATCCTTATTCATTGTTTCAGAATTCATGATGATTCATATAATGTAGCTGCATAAGGGGAAAGATGGGCTGAGCCCAATAATTTAGATTGTAATTATCTTCTAAAAGAAATATCCAAACTTGACTCCAAGGACACAATACCAGATCTTCATCAACTGTTCTTTGGTTTATTTGGTTCAGCTTCTTTGCTGGGAAAGAGCATTCCAGCAAAATTTTATGGTGGTTTAAGACTAATTTTTGCAGCAAGAACAAAAAGAAAAGCGCCAACCCACTTAGTCTAAGTAAGCATTGGAGGAGTGAGTTTAAACAGAGGTTGTCACAGGGGGTTATGGAATCTGTGTCCCTGGAGAGTTTTAAAAATAGGCTGAGCACTCATCCCTCTCACTAACATTAGAGATGGTCTCAGCCAGTGTCATAGCTAGAGGACAGCCCCAGGCCCTCTCAGGTTCCCTTCCACCTCTATGAGTCCACAAGCTAAAACAATATCTGGGGAGGCCTCTCTGGCAGAGTGAGCCACAGTCACGCAGGCACATTTCTGAATACATTACTTCCTGACCACATGGAATGATAAGTATATAAGTGAGGGTGGGGTCCGAATCTTTCCTTTACCGCACTCCACAGCAATTGCCAAGACAGGCTGCTCCCGCCACCAGCACCATCTCTCGGCTCTAAGCACAAGGGAAACCAGTCAGTATTGAACCATGGTGCTCTGTTGGATTTCATTTGTCACATCATGTTATGGTGTGTGTGTTTTGTGTGTTTGTGTGTGCGAGTGCGCGTGCTCATGCATGTACGTGTGCATGCAGGCGCATGTGAAACTAGAGTAAGTAAAACTAATCAGAAAGGAAATTCAGTTAAAAAAATCAGAAAAACATATAGGGAGAGAGCCTTCATGTTTTCTTGAGGGTAGACTCTGACGTCAAGCAGTTGATGCTAATGTTAGATCCTAACACTTAGCATTTGATTTTAAAAAGAGCCTCCTTGGGTCTGAAGCCTATTCGGAATTGTTGCCTGTTGTTCTCAGATAGGGTTTCCTCTTAGAAGACCAGCTCTGTTCCTCTCCTGGTGCTGCTTGGTAATGGCCACTTTCTCATAGAGACCGAGGTGGCAGCATAGCTAACAGGCACGGAGGTAGCTTTAAATATCACCGCACCCCATCATTTGGTGGGTGGGTGTGTTGTTGCTAACTGTGCTTCCACTTCAACAAAGAAAGTGGTGAGTTGCCAAAAAACAAAGATGTTCCATCTTAAGAATTATACGGAACTCCTTCCAGAGAGGCATTATTTTTTTTAAGCATTTTATCCTAAAATACTTTCCAAATTTATTTAGACATTATATCCAAGGAAAGTAATTTCAGTATCATGCCATGCAGCTTGAGTCTGTGAATGAGAACAAGTCTCTGTCAACAGAAATCTATCTTTATTATTCACCAAGTGGACCTTGGTGGCCTGTGTGGGGTGGGGGACCTGCCAAGGCCATAATTAACCTAGCTAACCAAAGACACATCAGACCTGGCAAACTGCAGCCTAACAAATTTGCAAACAGGTGGTGAAAATATGATTTGGTTCTTTTTTAAATTGTTCTTTCCTATTTGCTTCCCATAAAATGCTGCTTTTTTGAAAGGTCACTTTAGTTTTCATTAGGAAAAGGAGCCTCCATCTCCCAAATCCTCAGTTGATGCCCTTCCCTAGAAGTCTTTCCATTAATTGAGTTGGCCTGAAGGTCATAAACCACAATCAATATGGAGGCTGGTTGCTGCAAGGTGCTAATTGACATCCCCAAAGAGGAATAGTGTCAACAATCAATAGAGAAGACAGAGCACTGGTAGATTTATGGCTTTGATTTTGAAAAGGTATGGGAATGCCCAGTGATGTTTTCCCCCGTACTCCTTTTGAATGTTAATGCTTTCTTGAAGATGATTTCAGACACACTGCTAGGATACTGCCTCTACTCACTGAAGCAGAATCCTCTGAAGAGTTGCTGAGGCAGAACTGAAATCATGGCTCGCCTCAAAGAAGCAGCTGTATTGGCCGCTAATGATGCCTCACACAGAAAGACGATGCTCCTTTAACTCGGGATTTTAATGGGAAGTTTCTAAGCCTGAAACAACAGCTTCGGATCTGGGGTGTGCCATCAGCTGCTCGCAGCTACCACTGTCTTCTGCTTTAACACGGCTTGTTCGGGAAGAATGGAAACTAAAGAGGCTTCTAACTACCTGTAACTGTTCCACCAGGAAATGGATCAAGTGTTTATTCAGCCAGATCCAGGTACTTGACCATAACTGCGTCTTTGATGAGCTAATTAGATGCTTTTCTCTAACTTTACAATTTATGCATGAGCAATAATCGCATAGCTGCCTTTTGGGTCCAAGTTTTGAATTTAAATCTAGCTGTTAAAGTCTAATTAAACAGTTGCTAGGGGAAGTTAACACAAAGGGGTAAAATGTAATAATGACTTTGTTTTTAAAGCATGCTTAACTTTATTATGGTACTGATACTGGATAAAGAAGTAGAAAAACAGGCTTTTTTTTTTTTTCTTTTCTAAGCTGCAGTAAATTATTCTTGAAAGCTGTTTGCCCATTACAGATCTTCTCTCTCCCTTGTTTACTTAAAACATCCAACCTTCCAAAAGGCAATAAGGGTGTTTTGATTTGTTTGAAAAAGAATCACAACTCAACAACTCTTAATGAGAGCCTGACTGTCCCTGGGTTATGAGCAGTGGGTAGCTCTAGCCTTTTGAGGTATCTGCAAGCAATCTTTTTCACTACGAAACACACAAGGACAGAAACAGAAAACAGGTAGAAATGAAGGGTTCATTATTTGAAGTTAAAAGTCCCAGTTTGCTAAGAGTATCTTTAGAAAGCATGCATTACTGCCTGGCCATCCTTATGGTATTTCTCTAATGTTCTCAGCTGGACTGCAGTGTTGCCCTGCAGTTCCTTTAAAACTCTCCAAGCAGGTGTTAGGAAAAAGAGGAAGATAGAGAAGAAGCACAGCTGAGGTTGGGACTCAGGTTGAAGAGGAAGATCCCCTATTGACCCAGAGGTGATAAGCAGCAGTGAATTAGGAAGGAGAGGGTCTACTCCCAGACCTCTGCAGGCTGACTTTGCAGGGATGAGCAGAGAACAGCCCTCCCAGTGCAGCATTAGGTGCTGGCAACAGCTCCCAAACTGCCTGTTGACATTTGTAACTGAACACACATCATGTTTTAAAAATTATTATTTGTGGGCTTTCTAGTGGCCTTAGGTCTACTATTGAGCATGTTAAATAACATTCACCCTTAGCCATTCTGTGAATTTGGAAGCATCAGGGTAATTGTATTGGAGTTTTATTTGGATAAAAAGAATGTAGACATTGCCTTAGATTTATATGATTCAAAAATAAGGGAGGGGGAGGAGAGGGTGCAGGAATATTTACAATGTATGAAGCTCCGAAAAAGGGCCAGAAAATCTTTACCTGAAGTTCTTGACTGGTCACCAGGGCCATGTATTTTTTTTTAATTTTTATGAAACATTTTGTATCTTTATCTGTGTAACCTGAAATGCAAGTTCTTGATCACTGAGCTAATATACAGGATTTCCCAAGGATCATAGGGGAATAATTTTTGCTTATGTAGTGATTTGATTACTTAGATGGTGAAGTGGGCTTCTGTGGAGGGCTCACGATTGTCGGGGGTGATGTATGGGGTCGCCTGAGGTTCACACACCTGGGTGGATGAGTGGGTTGAGAGTGAGGTGTACCTAGAGAGTCAGTAGTTCTACAAACAGGAATGCAGCTGAGGCTTCCTTTAGCTCAAAAAGTATCCAGTGGTTCTATTTACAATCCCTGTAATGGGTGGGATTCTAAAAATAAAATTCCATACAGAAATGCATTACTATATGGAAAACCATGTAGCCATTTCAACAGTCAGTTTCAAAACTGTTCTAGAAAAATGTAGCACTTTGTGGAAGTTTCTCTCTTCTGGTCACTGCAAATTTAGTTCTGACTAGCTAGCCAATGCCCTTCCTGTTAGTCTACAGATTAATCTCATTAGTCTGCCAGGTAAATGTAAATAAGGTGCACAGAATGTCTTTGTAGGACAAAGTGTCCTGTCAATGTAAACTGGACAAGCCCAGGAGTGTTCTTGCTCAATGGATGGGCTGTTTTTTATGCCTACTTTTAAAAACATGTCAAGTCACGGAATTAAGTTTTTGGCCTAGAAGTTTTAAAAATTAGGTATAGCAATTATGTGATTTAGGAGTACTTAAAACACAGGCAACATTGCTTAACTGCACTCTTCTTGCCATTAACAGCAGAAGGATGACAACTTTTAACTCATTCCAACATGTAAGAGAAATACTTGGTCCCTCTTGCATCCTTTGTAGGAAATGGGGGTGTCACTCTTTTTATTACTGGTTTTTATGATTTGGGGCAGTTTATAAATCTCCATTCCTTTCTGTGCTTGGTTGCATAATAGAGATTAGAAATAAATCTCATTTTGCATAAAAATGATAGAGAAAACACTCATATATTAGCACTTGGTTATTAAATACCCACTATGTGCTCAACAGGGTTGCACATGTACTGCAGCTGTGGTCACTGTAACACATTCCATGAGGGTGAGCCCTTGAGTCAATGACCACAAAAGTAAGGAGAGAACAAGGTGCCAAATGCACTAACTGATTCTGTTTCTGTCTCTTTAAAAATAAGAAAAGAGGCAAGTCATTGCTTTAGGATGTACTTTCTTCATAAAAAGCACTTTTCCCTTCTGTGAAATTATGTAATGAGATGTTAATGAAATAAAATGTCCAAGGTATCCGAGCCAGAGCAGGGTATATGTTGACATGAATAGCTTCCACACACAACTTTAGGATTTAGTGGATTTTAAATGGCTGCCCCTCCCAATCACAAAACAGACAGGGTACAAATGGACTGACCTCTTCAATAGAAGGGTAACTGCCTATCTCTGGCTGATCTTTATTTTTAGGATCCCACCCATCTGTATTGTAGCCAAGGAAAATTTAAAGAGCCAAATAACTTATAGCTTTTCAAATCATGAGAGCTGTGACTATTAAAGTGCCACTGTGATCCAAGCTAGCTATGATTCTTTGAAACAAGATCTATTTCTCATACTGGGTCTGACATCCCAGTTCGACTGAATGACTTTTGCTCCCCCCCACTCATTGTATCAGTTAGCTGGCACCTTGAATTTTGAGTTCAGTTCTCTGGACTGTAAGGGGCAGAGATTTGATTCAGCCTATCTTCAAAGAAGCAGTGACCCCAGAATGGCAAGCAGTTCTTCAAGGAGCTTGTTATTTAGTAAGAGGAAGGTGTTGTTTAGTAAGAGGAAGTGACAACTCATCTAGACTTGTCACTGATCAATGCTGCCCGAGTGCAGGAAATCTCTGGAGGCGGAGCAGGGAGCACCCCATCCTCTGTGAGGGGGATACATAAGATCCCAGGAAGGAGCGGATATTTGGTGACAACTCAGAAGGAGGGGGAGGACCCCCCAGAAGTGGGAAGAGGAGGAGGCAGTGAGCACTATGAGGTGGAAGCCAGTAGGTGTTGGAAGACCAGCAGGTGAGATGGAGCCAGGGAATGGGCAAGATGAAGCCCTTCCCCTTAGGTGCCCCAGAGTCAATTACATATATTCGCATCAATACTTTGGTCATTTTACTGGACACCATATGTGATTTGACATTTGTTCCTTTTTAAACGTATGAAAATAGATTAACATCTTAGGAAACTCCATAAGAGTGTGTCTACTCTGTGGTCCTGGCTACATCAGGGCATCAGGTGCCTGGGGGTTACTGGGCTATGGACACTGGGGCACATGGGTCTTCTGGAGGAGGGGTGGTCAGATCTGGGCTTTGGACGATGGACCAGGATGCAGTATGTAGAAAGTACAGGCAAAGGAAGAGGAACACACTGAAATTACTGAAATTAAAGCAAGTGGCTAAGAGAGAGAATGGCTACGGCAAAGATGAACTGCTTACACGGGGATTCCTAAGTAATTCAGGGTGTTTCACACTTTGTCTGCATTGTGGGGTCCACAGAGCTTGACTTGTGAAAAAAAAAAGATGTATTTTATGATTTTTTTTTTAAAATGACATCTTTTAATTTAGTTTTTCTTGGTCCAGTATTAAAATTAGACTTTATTTCCTGAGCACACACAAATGGACCCAGCCAAGGGAAGACACAGATGCACTGCGTGATGGGCAAAGCCAGTCAAGATTAAAATACTGCCGTGAGTAACTGTGGTCCTTCTTCATACTTGAAAATAACTGCCATTTGTTATTAGCAGGTCTTATGATGGTCATGTCAAAATCTTTTGAAATGATTTATTTTCACTGTTCATATGAAAGAAAGATTTCATTATTTAGCTAAAAACAATCATGAACATTCTCTAAGAATCATTTTTATCAAAGAGAAACATTTTACTTTGAGACACATTTTTAAATTTTTGTGTCTTTGAATGTTTTCATATTGTGATATCCAAGTGATTAAATTTATTTCTTTTCCTCAATCTAAATCTGATGCTTCCTTTAACTTGGACATGTTGTTGAGCTTTCTAAATTTGTAAATTATTCACTAGCTGATTATAGGTTTAAAATCAAGCCGGCTCTTCCAGGGATTTCAAATAGTCCTAAGCACAATTGTGAAGAAGTGGCATTTGTTTCTGGATCTCTTTATCCTTTTACCCGTCTTTAACCAGCTGCTGGTCATTTCTCTCTTTCTACCTGTCATCTTTCATCCTCCCCCAGGTCTCTCCTGTTGGGCCACCTGCTCATGGCACCCATGTCTCCCCCATCCTTCTCCTTTCTAGCAGCCCCTCATTCCCAACAAGATCTTCCTTTTATCTACTATATTTCCTTTCTCCAATCTCCTACTTACCACATTTCACAGTCCTCACTGACAAATCCCTGCTATTATGTTAATGTGTCACTTTCCTTGGTAAAACACTGCAATTTAATAGAAGCCTTTGATTATTTAACCAAAAGAAGTTATTTTAGTGAGAACTTGAGCACCGGGGTATACCTGAAGGAGGAGAGGTTTACAATTCACAGTGTGCTATAGAGTTTTCAAAATGCTCAATTTGGTTTATCTGGAAGGGGCTAGGGATGAAAGAATCTATTTATTAGCAGGCTTCTGAAAATGTGGTCAGATTGCAAGGAAGGCTTAGCTATACTTTCACCTCTTGAAATTAATTGATTAATTAATTAAAATGTGGTGCTGGGATTGAATCAGGGTGTTGCACACACTAGGTAAGTGTTTTATCATGGAACCATATCCTCCCACCATCTCTTGCCTTTTAATAAGCAAAAGGTGGTAAGACTGCATATTAAAACTGATTTTTAAATCATCCTGATAGTTGGCATTCCTGTGAAGAAAGTGATTTCCAGATTGTTCTAGAGGAAACCGGAAGAGGGTGATGTGGCAGATGATCCAAATCAGAACAACTAGGCGATTTGCTGGGGCCTCTGGATTGCTTGCCAATCACTGTAGCCCCCAAACAAGTGGTGTGTAGACTCTAGGTCCTGAGCTATGGGCTAAGCCCAGAAAGTATGAGAGTTGATCTAGGAGAAAAGGGTTTGACATTTTGTCCTGTATGCAGGAGGAGGCTGGGAAAGACTGCTCCTGGATGTCAGGGTGGCTCTAATCACAGAGACCAGGGTGTGGGAAGGAGGGACTGAACAAGGTATTACAACGCGAATCAGCTAGCTCATGGCTGGGGTCATTCTCACGGGCCCTAGAACTCTGTCCAGCTCTTCCCTATTTTCACTGGATTCCACAGATCCCCAAATCCTGATATTATAAATTTATATAGTTAATGGTCTTTGCTTTTCCTGCATTTCCTTTTTGGATTATGTAGTTTATTTTTCTCCCTTAAAATCTGTCTGGAAATGCATACCCATCTAAGCTCTGTTCAGAAGAGACAAAGGAAAGGACTCTGACTTCCTCTGAAATGAAGAAAAAAATGGACATAGAATGGGATTCTTGTAAACCAACAAGGAGAGCAGGGTCAAAATGAGGTGAACCTTCATGGGACACAAACAGGCAAGAAGGGACATGTAAGGGATGGCTGAGGCTTGAGCTCCTTCCTTATCAGATGGCTTTCCCTTGTGCCAGTCTTTGGAGAATCTTATAATTGGAATGATTAAGTCCAGCATGAGTATTTTTGGTGGCTGCAGCTGGCCCTGGTCTGATATGCTGAGGAAGCTGCATTGGAGGGTCTGGCCACCTTTCCTGCTCCTTTCTTTTCTAGCCCAGTGGGAATCAATACCCAAAGATCGGAGAGTGCTTAAAAACAAGAAAATCAGAACCAAACCCCATTTATAACATCCTCCACATTCTTTTTTTTAAAAAAGATTTATTTTTTTAAACCTTTATTTATTTTTATATAATGCTGAGGATTGAACCTAGTGCCTCAGACATGTTAGGCAAGCGCTGTACCACTGAGTCACAACCCCAGCCCCATCCTCCACATCCTTAAGAAGCTTAAGAGTATCACTAGTTGGAACCTCCTTTCTCCCAGATGGGGGTTGATATCCTCTTGGTAAACTGCTTTTTATAGTGTGATTCTATAGACTTTGAAGAGTCAACTTACATGCATACTGTAATTGTGATTACTATTGGTGTATACAGAGAGCAGTGATTCTAAGTTGATGGTAGAAATGTTTTCATTCTTTAGGTAATAATTTCTTTCTTTATTTGGTTGCTTACTTTCTTTGAGCATAATTTTTTTGGACCCATGTTAGTTTCTATAGTTAACTCTGTTATGTAATTTTTCTCACAAATTCATAATAATTATGTCCATGTGACTTTCTATATGATAATGTCTAAGATGAATGCTTTTTTTCTTACAGAATTTAAGTTTATTTAGTTCAGTACCTTTTAATGACTTTCATTTATTGTTTTATTTGCCTTTAAAAACAAATAGGAAGTCAGGCACATACTTGTAATTCCAGAGACTAGGGAGGCTGAGGCAGGAAGATTGCAAGTTTGAGGTCAGCTTTGGCAACTTAGGAAGGCTCTACGCAATATAGCAAGACCCCATTTCAACAGAAAAAGTAAAAAAAAAAAAAGCTGGGGATGTGGCTCAGTGGTAGTGTCCCAGGTCCAATCCCCAGTAACACAAAACAAACAAACAAAAACAAAACAAAAAATACAAAACCTAGTAATATCCAAGTGCCTCAATTTTTCTCTCCAGTTTTTCCTTCTCTCTCTTTCTACCAGATGGACTTAAATGCAGGAAGCCACTGCCAAGAAAACTGTCCTTTTAATAACATTCAGTCGATTAAATCCTTTTCTCCAGCTCAGTTCTCTAGGTGCTTCCCAGGGTCAAGTATTGAACTTGGTCTTCGTTTTTGAAGAAGAAAGTAAAAGCAGCAGTAACTTGATGGTTTGGGAGTCTGAGATGCCTCCTCCCTTGGCTCAGGCAGCAGAAAGCAAAGGAGAAGCATTGTGGATTCCTTAGGGCTGCCTTAGTGCAGGGGAGACTTTGTTATCTTTCTTCTTCTTCTTTGTACACCTTTCAAAGGGTTTCTGTGGTCATTCATTTATATCATAGCACCATGAGATATGAGGCATTTCTAAATGTTTACAGCTTAGTGACCTCTCCAAAGTCCCAAACTCATGTAGCCGTGGAATGGAAGCCTGAGCCCAGAACTTAGAACACAAAGCTTCCTGAGAGAGTTTCCATATGAAGCACTTCTTTGTGCCTCTGTTTCCTGATACTTGGAAATGATACCCGAAAACAGAAGTCTCTGCTTTCAGGGAGGCTGTAGTAGAATGGCTAATATATGTTGAGTTTAGCCACAGTCCTAGCACATAGCTGGTGCTCACTTAATAGAACTGTTAAAAGGAACGATTTGAGAGTCATATAACTGGGGGGAGCTAGGGGAGTCTTGGCAGGGTGGCGGGCTTGGGTGTCAAGTTGACAGAAGACCCGGAGGTCAATATTAATTTGCCCATTTCTCATCTTTGATATTATAGTTGTCTTCCATGCCCATCCGTCCTGACCCTAGGTGGCCATTCTGAGGACAATCTGGTAATTTCATGTAAGAGAAAAATATTCTTCCCCATAATTATACATAATTAAGCATATCTGGTGAAAAAGAAAGCTGGTTTACAGATTTCTACTCTCTGAAAAACATGACTGTGGATATATAAAATGAGGTTGCTATTTGATAGTTATTCCCTCTCCTTCCTTTTCCTTCTTCCTGAAGACACCTCAGCCTCGCCAGGGTGCAGCCACCATGATCTCAGCAGACTGATGATGGAAGAGAAGGGAACCAGGAGATCCTGTGCTTGGCCTTCTGTGGACAATGGATGGAGGGCAGCCCATCCCCTCGCCCCTAGTGCCCCTTGGGAACGTGTCATCAGAATCTAGCATGTCTCTGGAGCAGAAAACAACATTTGTTTTTGTGATTTTATTGTTTATTTTCTTGGGCATCCTCATCGTCAGGTGCTTCCGGATTCTTCTGGACCCATATAGGAGCATGCCAACCTCTACCTGGGCTGATGGACTTGAAGGCCTGGAGAAAGGGCAGTTTGACCATGCCCTTGCTTAGCAGGGGCAGAGCAAGGTCTTCTCCTGAGAAGAAGAAGAAGAGGTGAAGTGCTTCATATCTGGGCAAAGATCCCCTTTAGTCAATGTTCTGAACAAATTTTAACGATATCTTGTCCTAGGACGACCACTCATTATTTCATAAGCATGCCGTTGAATTAATCTTATTTGAAGATATTGGAAATGAAAGTTTGTATTGATAACCAAAAATAGGAATGTTTAAACATCTGTGTTTTATTCAATGAATGTATATTGTTGAATGTAATTGTGAAACCCAGGGCACCAATACTGACATAGACTGCTATGATGAAGCCCCACTGAGCTGAACAGAGAAAGAGGGAAACTAGAGAAGTTCTATTAAGAACCTGGTGACAGGGCCAGGAAGAGACTGCCTTGCTGTAATCATGCCTCTCAGTTTGTCTTATTTCATGGGCATCTGGGTCCTGTGCAGAGGGAGGAAGACACTGCTGAGAGGACCCCAGTTGGGTATTTGTTTCCTTCTAGAGTACAGCCCTGGGAAGCCACGGGATGCTCAAGCCAAGAGATGGTTCTGTCCTTGCAAAATATGAGTGAGAATGATAGCACTTTATTTTTCAAATAAAACTGAATTCAGAAGCTATAGAGTTTCAAACAATATTTACCAAAGTACGTTCTCTATTCATATTAATAACATGTGAAGCTATACATAAGACGAATTTCCTTTCTTTACACTGATGATTGAAATAATAGGTTGCAAGTGCTGCTTCAAGTTTTTTTCCCCTTAATTAAAAGCTAATTATTTAGAGAAAAACATTTTTGCAGCTGTAAGAGGAATGTGCATTTATGATTGCATATAGCCACCAAATAAAATTTTTTAAGAAGCAGCATCGTCTCCTTGCACTTCACCAAGACTAACACATGGGTGGTGAGCCGTGCTGAATGCTGAGGACTTCACATTTTTCTGAGAAAGGAGAAAGAATGAAGAGCATGAAACATCCTGTAATTCATCCCTCCCCCATTTCATGAATGGCTCCCACAACTCATTCCGTGTGGATAAAACCTCTTCTAAATATTGCAACAAAAAGGGAGATGTGAACACCTCTCATTCTAATTTTTATTGGTAGAAAATTTTGTACCTGAACTAAACCCATTAGGCTGCATTCATAATCCACCTTCTAATTTTCTCCTCAGCTAATTATCACATTTTTTATTTAAAAAAAAACTTTAATAAGCTAACTATTGCCCCCAAAAGCCACCCTTGCCAGGTGCCATGGTACACACCTATAATCCTAGTGGCTTGAATGGCTGAGGCAGGAGGATCTCGAGTTCAAAGCCAGCCTCAGCAACTTAGCAAGGCCCTAAGCCCTTGGCCCTGTCTCTAGATAAAATATTTTTAAAAAGTCACCTCCCAAAACTCCTTTCCTGTTTTCTTTTTTTTTTTTTTTTAGTGTCCTGCTGCTCATGTTCCCCCTGCACTCATATTACTCCTTGATTCTTTTCTTTTTTTGTTTTTAATAAAAGTTTTATTTGAATTATAATTTACATACCATAAATTCTTGCCTTTAAAAGTATTAATTTAGTTATTTTTTTTTAGTATATTCACAGATTTGTGTGACCACTCTATCGAGTTCCAGAACCCTATACTTACTAATAGTCACTTTCCACCTCTCTCCCCTAACCCCTGACAATTGTTAACCTACTTTCTGTCTCATGGATTTACCCATTCTAGATATGAGTGGAATCAGACAACCTTGTCTTTTGTATCTGGCTTCATAGCATGCTTTCAAAATATATCCATGTTGTAACATTGCTTTGTATGGCCAAATATTATTGCTTTTTTTTTTTGTACAGACCACATTTTGTTTATCCATTGGTTGTCATGGTCGTCCATTGGCTGTTATGAATCATGCTACTGAGAACATTTGTGTGTAGGTTTTGTGTGGAAATGTGTTTTCAATTCTAAAAGTAGACTGGGGGGACATCTTATGGTAACTGTTTAACATTTTGTGGATCTGTGGAGACTATTTTGCAAAACAGAGTACCATTTTACATTTCCATTAGCAATGTATGAGAATTTGGATTCTTAACTTTTTCCAACTATTCAAATTACTTCCTTAGCTGTATGATTTGTAACTGAACACACCACCTGAAGAACAATTCAGATTAAAAAGAGGGAACCCGAGATTATTGATGCCTCCAAATATCTGAAGCAAAAGGCCAGTGATTTGTGCTCACCTTGTGATCCTTTAAGCCACCTGTTTTTCTGTCTTACTAATACATGGTTTAAGTTTTCTTTTTCCTTTAAATATCCCATGTGTATCCTTATAATTTTTTCTAATTTTCTCGAGAATCTATCTAATAATTTAGGGAGACTTTGCTGTAAGCCTGGTGTTGCTAGCACTGAAGAGAGAGGAAAAGTTCAGGGTCAGTTCTTGCTCCGGATACCTTCCTACCTTGTTGGAGAGAGAATAAATGAAAGAAGACATATGATTAAATCATTGTTCAAATGATGAATAAGGACCTCTGACTACCTTATTCATCAGAATCATCTGGGGAGCTTCATATGCATACTAATTTTTATTATAAACTTTGTACATGTTTACAGTCACATCATATCAAACAAAATGGAAATATATAAACAACAGTGATCAAAATCCTAACACTTTGGGTCACCCTAACTCTTCAGTTACTTCTGAGGAGCTTGGTGAAAATGGACTTTACCCCAGCCTTCCATGCCCAGGGTTTAATTCTGCAGAGTTGGGCTAGTGAACAAATACTCCAGGAGGTGGGCATGGTCACTATAGTGAAGCAAAGATTTGAGAAGACATGGCTCAGTGTGATAGTGCATGTCTAAGTGCTTGGTATAATTTATGAAATAAATTAGCTCTTAACCTAAGAAGATGGAGGTATTTTAGATACATGCAAAGGAAGGGAGAAAGGAGAATGAGGAAGAGGCAGTGTGGGTGTGGCTCTGGGCTGGGAGGGCAGCCTTCCTGGAGTATGTAGTTGGAGAGGTAGCTGGCACTCATATAAGAAGGACCAAGTTAGGGCTGGACATCAGAGGGTCTTAGGCCAAAGTGTAAGAGTCATCACTGCAGATTCACGAGCAGGAAAATGACAAGCAGACTGGTGTGTCGCTCCAGTTTCTGCACCCTTCTTCCGGACAACACCAGGTTCCACTTCTATAATGGGCTCGGACTGAAATAGCCATCTGCCCTCTATGAGGCCTTTGAGCCCAGGCCTTGCCAGTAAGTGCTAGGGGGGCCTCCCAAAGCCCAGTCTTCTTTCTTTCTTCCCTTTATTGCCCACTCTATTTTTGTTTTTCCTTCTCAGATTACTGCTCCATGTCCAGCCTCCCATTTCTAGGTCTCCCCCCTCCTCCCCTGTGAAGACCAAGAATACCATAACAAGTGATAAAAAGCTTTAGGCTGTTCAGAGTAAATTGATCCCCCCTGTGGGAAGTGCCAACTCTCTGTTATAATTACTCTCAGCTCCTTGGGGTGAACATCGTATTCTCAAAAGGTCACGTAAGCCCTCTTTTTCCTGGCTTTTTGGCTACAGGAGTTACAGTGCAGCATTTTGCCTACCTTACAAGATATTTATAATGAGGGCAGCTGGCATTTATCGTGTATATCTGCAACTCAGGATGAAAAAAACTTTCCCAAGGTCACTCTCTAGAATAGACCTGCCTTTTGATTCAGAAAAATATGGCAACCTCCTTATTTGTCTGAACTCTGAATCACAACCCCCATGGCTTATGCCCTTCAGGAGACCCCCAAGTTTTAGATCAACATCTTTCCCTCCAAGAGATCACTTAACATATCTTAAACACTGAATAAAGAAAGTTTAACTTGGAGTGAGAAGGAGATTAACTTGACTCCTGCTGTTACATTAATAAACATTCTAAGATGGAGAATTCTTTTGCTATTTTTAAGGGTTAAGACTGAGGCAAAATAAACAACAATTTCAGGAGACAGAAGTTAGGTACCTCAGATGTTTATGTATACAGAAAAAAATGTGTATTCAAATTTCTTTTTTATTGGTTTCATTGTGCACTGTGATATTCTAACATGAGGATTTTATATTTAAGAATATTGATAAATTTGGTGTGATTAAAAAGTTTACTTGTCCACCATAAGGCATTATATAAAATCCTATAGTTTACAGATGTCAATTTTTATAGTTAACATGTTAGAATATATTTAAACTTAATTATTTATAATAAATATTCCCAAACCAAAAGCATTGAATGAAATCTGAGATTTAGTATATTTGAGATGTGTGTCATTTAAAAACAAATTACTCAAGATGTGTGTCTTGTTTGTTGATTTATCACAAAATTGTAGGGTTGAGTCAAGATCTCTAGAAAAACTGCCCAAATCATTATCTGTGCATGCACAATCCAGGATCAAACTGGCCCATGTCAAAGATTATTTATGCTTGTTTGGGGATGGAAAAGAAGAGCTCTCTAAGCTTTGTTTCTGAAAAGGATAAATGAATTGTTTGCAAACAGATATCTTCTCGGAAGATGGAGTCCTCTCTGTCTGGAGCTTGCTCTAGATAAATGAGCAAGGCCCAACACTTCAGTCAGCTTGGGGCCCTTTCCAAGGCTTCTTCTTATAGAATAGGATGCCCTTCTGGATTTAGTATAGAGTAGAAATTTTGGGTCCAGTTTCCTGCTCTAAGCGAATACTTATGTCTTGTCCTAAAGTGCCACATGATTCTCTCAGATCCCTCCACACCATAGCCTTTCCCAGTAACCTGATTATTGCTTCTACACTTTGCTTTAGAGTAAAGGGATGCCCAATAAGCCATCTTTCAAGAGATTCCCACCCTTATTCTCTTTTAAGCCCTATTATCAGCTCTAAGCTCCAAAAGCTTATGCAAGTTTGAAGAAATTCACTTTTCTTGGGTTCTTTGGAGTTCAAAAAGATGGAAAGAAACTACTGTCATGTATGTTAGCTGTCTCACTTTACACATAAAGAAACTGAGAAACAGGTCATATGGCATGACCACAGTCACTGCTCTGCTCACTGGTTGTAGCTGAATCATCTTCCCTATGTGCAGTGTAGGTGAATTCCAACAGAATGACCAGTTAATGAAGCTATGAGTGAAAATATTCATTTGCTAATTTAATAAGAGTTACATTAATCTTAGTCTCTTTTGGTGGTGGTGGTGGCCCATGCAAGGACATATACTATTTCTAAAAAGCCCTCGTGGATGATGTACTTTGTTTTGGAATATTCAGAAGCTTCAGTTTAAGTGTGGAGGAAGCCAGAAGTATTTCCAGTTAGATTGCAGAGGATTCTTTAGCAAAGATTCTCAAAATACAGGATAATTGATTTAGGATAAGGCTTCAAAGTTTCTGTATTTCCAAACAGAATTTTGAACTGTCTTTCTTAGCTTTCAGCATAAGAAGGGAGATTATAATTTGTTTATAAAGGCTGGATACCATCCTGTCCGTAGTTCATCAAAGAGGTGCCTGGATCCTCTTGGGACACAGACAGAGCTAAAGAAGACACATAGTATGATGAAGTATCTCAAGTCTGAAAGTGCACTTTATCCTTTTCTATCCCTACCTTTGTTCCTAAATACAGCAGTCCCCTCTTGGTTGTGGTTTTGCTTTCTGCAATTTCAGTTACCTGCGATCAACTGCAGTCTGAAAATATTATGTGGAAAATTCCAGAAAAACCACACTCACATAATTTTATTACAGTAAATTGTTATAATTATTCTATTTTATGAATAGTTACTATTGTTAACTTCTTCCTCTGCCTAATTTATAAACTAAATTTCATCACTTTTATGTATAGGAAAAAAATCTCACCACAATTTCATATCATATATGTATAGGGAAAAGAACAGTGTATGTAGGATTCAGTAC